TCATTAAATATTGAAAAAACTAAATATATTTTGTTTGCTAAACCATCTCAATCCGAGAACCTTCCACTTAAACTTCCAGAACTAACAATTAACAATATTAAAATAAAAAGAGTTTTTTCAATGAAAATACTAGGAATAAATTTCGATGAACATTTAAATTGGAAAAGCCAAATAAAGTTAGTCGAGAACAAAGTTTCAAAGACTGTGGGGATTATGTACAGGACAAAACATCTTTTGAATAAAATATGTTTAAAAAACTTATACTTTTCATTTATACATAGTCATATTAACTATTGTAATATTGCCTGGGCAAACAATCATTCATCTTTCCTAAAAAATATTTATACTAAACAAAAGCAAGCAAGTCGATTAGTTTTGGGCGCAGATAGGTACGAAAGTGCCAAGCCGTTACTCAAGGAAATTAATGCGCTAAACGTATACGAACTAAATATATACCATAACTTGTTATTTATGTTTAAACTTCAAAATGAACTAATTCCAAAATATTTTTATAAAGGTTTCTCTCTAATTAACCATAAATATGAAACAAGACACTCAATAAATAATTACTACATCCCACCAACATCACTCAAAAAATCTGACTTCTCAATTACATGTCGGGGGCCACGCTTGTGGAAGTCAGTTCTTGACGAAAATATGAAAAAAATAAAATCTATTGATATATTCAAAAGAACTATAAAAAAACACTTACTAAACTCAAACATTACATACATTCTTTCATTTTTTTAAAAATAATATTTTTTTGATAAATTTGATAAAAAGCTTTTTTTTTTTTTTTTTTTTATATATATATATACATATATATCTTTCTTGTTTGATTTTCTCTTTGACTGTTTTTTTTTTTTAACTTTTTTTAATAAATACTAACAAATGAATTTAAATCTACATAACGTTTGGAATCTTTTTAATATATAAATATTTTTGAATATATACTTCGCTTTGTATTGAATATGTAAACGTATATGTACTGATTTGTAAAAAAAAAATTCAAACTTTTTAATTTACGCATTGTATACATTTTTATTTTTTTATTTCGAGATTTTATTATTATTATTATTATTATTTTTTTTTCTTTCTAATTTTTACTTTTTTTAATTTTTAATTTATTTTAAACTTTTTAATTTTTTTCAATCTTTTTACTTTATTTCAAACTCTTTAAATTTTTTTATTTTTATTTTAATTTTGTTTGAATGTTTGTTTATTTTTTCAAAATTTTTAATTTAACTCTTTTTTATATTATTGGAATTTTAGAAATTTTATATTTCTCTATTTCACAAAAGGGCTTGATGATAAGACTTTATGTCTTCTACTTGCCCCTGTCAGCTTGTAATTATATATATATTTATTCGAATTTAAAGATAACATTGTAAAATGTGTAAAACGACAAAATAAACTAACTATAATAACATTTTGAAAACGAATCAATACTTCTAGTTTGTATATATTGCCAAATAGATAAAAATAATGACACGCTCACTCAGATTCTTGCCTCTATTGAAGCAACGCAACAGGTATTGCCGAAATTAAAGTGTTCAACAATGCTTTTGTATGGTGGTTTTAATTTTAGCCACATCAGCTATAAATCATGCAATGTTAGTGGTGGTATAGAAACAACCGCTCATGTAACTGAACAACGTCCCGGTGAAATTAAATTTTAAGAGTGTATTAAAGACTGCTATTAAACTCAACTAGTAACACTCGCAACAAACTGCAATAACATGCTTGCAACTCCAAGTAGGTCACTTGACCTCGTCATCACTAATAATTCTGATCGCCTAATCACAATAAACGAAGGAAATTTGTTTGGACATGCACCAATCGGAAAAGATCACTGTCTTTTAGTCGGTCTTTTTGTAGTATACCTCAACAAGAACAAACTAACATCTCCTAGTCACCGACGGCTTATCTGGAGTAAAGCAAATTTCGATGTAATTTCATTACAAATAACTTCTAAAGTAATACCAACCAATCTCTCTGTAAACGATCTGTACAGTTGGTTTATTACGCATACAACGAAGCTGTAAAACTGCACATTCTATCAACTACGACTCCATTTAAAACTAAGCAAGATCTTTGGGTCACACCAAAAGTATTGGAAGCAGTTAAATCAAAAGATACAACTTGGACAAAATACATTGCTGCAAGTAAAGATTCACATGCAAAGTTACGTAATGAACTTCAGTCTGCATGCAAACACATGAAAAAAGTGGTCAATGCGGCTGTCCTTCATTAAGAACAACGATTAGTAATCAGTTTCAAGGAATTCCCGAAACGCCTCTACTCACACGAAAAAAACAAGCTACATAATCACATTAGTATGCTTGAAACTAGCGATGGTAACATCACCAATGACTCGTAGTCTATAAGTTCAACGATAAACAATTATTTTCATTCAGTTTTTGTCGATATTTGAAGGGGGAAAAACATCAACTTGGCAATTTGACAAAAGTTTTTTTACAGCTGCTACAGTACAAAACTACTTATTCTGTCCTGACAAAACTAAACCGATGGGGATTGACAGAGTCAAGGGTGGACCCAGGAATTTATTTGGGTACATCTGATCTATTTTTAAAAGATTGCTTATGGCAAACGTTTTTTCCATTCACCCTCTGTTATGTCAATATCTTGTTTATCAGCTACATTCTTAAAGGAAACAACACATTTATAAACCACATTTTTTGATAAACAACTTCCATTCATCGGACAATTGTTTTTTTGTTTACAATTTTCTTTAGTTTTTTCATTTAGGATTTCTTTTTTATTTAACAAAGCATTATCGTGACCTTTTATAATTTTTTCCATATTTTTTGTGCTAATTTTAATTGGATTACGATTAAAGCTAGTAGCTAACTTTAATTGTATTTTGATTAAAAACTTTATGTAATTTATTAGAGGGAGGGAAATGCTTATCGACCAATTTTTAAAACACTTTTCCTATGTTAGTGGAAACATTTTTGCTATATGGGGGGTTCAATTTGGTTCAACCCCTCATATAGGAAAAATGTTTCCACTAAAATAGGCAAAATGTTTTTAAAATTGATTGATAAGCATTTCCCTCCCTCTAATAAATTACATAAAATCTTTAATCAAAATACAATTATAGTAGCTACAGTTGCACAAAAAATATGGAAAGAATTATAAAAAAAATACTTAAAGTTAAAGAATCAAAGGTTTTCATTCTTTATTTTTATGTATATATATTTCAGCTTTCATATATACCTACAAGCATGTTTTCTTATTGACTTGCGCATAACTTTGGTTTATTTTCACGACATGTGGTTTGTTGTTACAGCAATTGTTACCTACAGTTTTGTTAATAATTGGTCTTAACGTTAGACAAAAATTTAAGTCTTTGGTCTTGAAAATGTTTGCGTAGGCCTTGACCTTGACCTTAAAACTCTTAGCCTTGTCCTTGCAACTTTTGGCCTTGGCCTTGTAACATGTGGCTTTGGTCTTGCTATTTTTGGTCTTGTTAGCAACTCTGGTTAAAAGTACTTCCTGACATGCTTAAAAAAGTGAGCCATTTAAAGTTATCTATCAACGTTAAAAGCTTTTGTCTGTTTGTTTTTTTAATACTAAAGAAACAATAATTGTGAATTTAGCGACATTTTTAACTTAGCAATCACTATATTTTAGGTTTGGGGGCATTTATAAGGTACGTACGCAGTAAAATAACAGATTTTTAACACCTCCACCTTTGTACTTAGTTACATGCTTTAAACGATTCCCTCCTCTGCGTACATATGTATTATTTATTACAAAATCAACGCATAAATTTTTCAAATCAATAAAAACTGTTACATAAAGTGAGTACGCTTGGATGGGAAAAAGGGGGTCTGCAAGTGGCGCATATGAGAAAGGTTAATTATAAAAGTAAAGAGACATTAAATTTAAAAAAATATCATAAAATGTCGGGTAGGTATGCTAAAAGCGTCGATACGTTAAGGGAGGTGGAAGGTACTAAGAAAAGAGTAAAGCGAAATGCGGGCTAGAGGGGGTAGAAGGGTTAAAATAAAAGCGTACGTATTTTATGGACGACCCAAAGTAATATTAATTTTCTAAACGCGTGAAAATATATGCTTTTTTCAAATTAAGTTTTAGAAGTAGAGAAGAGATTGTAAAACCGCGTGTGTACTCGCTGTTTTTAACATCCCCTCCTCGATTGCGCGTATGGGATCGTTCTTATATTACGTCATGCTCTAGAGGGGTAAGGAAATGCGTTAGTGGTTTTGTGACGAGCCATACGGGACTTTTTACGATTAATATTACGATGTTGTGACGAGGGGGGAAAGGAGGAGTCGAAAATTGCGTGACGAAATTTATTTACAACCCCTATTGTCAAATAATCTTTAGTCTATTGTTAATTTGACAAGCATTATTGCAAAAGTATGAAACCGCAATACTATTCCGGTTTTCAATTTCTTTCCGACTGTTTCAAATAATTAACCGTGCATAGTTTGTCAAAATTAGTTTGATTGTTATAAATATATAAAGTAAAACTTTTTTTTTCCAATTATTTGTTCAACTTGGAAAACTTTTATCTCACTTTTTGAGTACTTCTAACGACGTAGCAGACTTCATCTAAACACGTCCCCCTAAAAATTACCCGA